TTTGGCTGATGCAAAAGCTACATGGGTCCTGGGAAATCATGGTAGATTTTTGCAAACTCAATCAGCTGATGATGCCAAATTGTAGCTATAGTTCTACATGTGGCACCTTTACTGGAGCAACTCAGCATAACTCCTGGCACCTCATATGTATTGATCCACCAGATGCTTTCTTCCTATTCTAATCAGTAAGAGAAATCAGAAGCAGTTTACTTTTTTTTTTTTTTAAGTTTTTTTAATGTTTCATTTATTTCTAGGAGAGAGAGAGAGAGAGACAGCGTGAGCAGGGGAGGGTCAGAGAGAGAAGGAGTCACAGACTGAAGCAGGCTCCAGGCTCTGAGCTGGCTGTCAGCACAGCCTGACGCATGGCTCGAACCCACGAACCGCGAGATCATGACCTAAGTGAAAGTCAGACGCTTAACCGACTAAGCTACCCAGGTGCCCCAGAAGCAGTTTGCTTTTAAAAGGCAGGGACAACGCAAACTTCAACTGTCATACCTCAGGGCTATGTCACTTTTCCTACTGTCATAGTACAGTCCTAAGGTTGCTGGGTCACCTTCATGCCTCATAGGAAACCATGCCAGTTCATTGCACTGAAGACACAGTGCAACAGGTTCTGATTAGCAGGAATAGCAAGCCGGAAGGGGGAAGATAAATACTGCAAATCTGCAGACATCTCTAGATGTCTGGTAGTCCAGGGCATGCCAGGATAGCCACAGTGAAAGGCAGACTGTTGCAGCTCCCCGCACCCCAGAAGAAGAGAAAAACACAATGCTTGCCGGGCTTCTTTGTGTTTTGAAGATAACATATGCACAGACTGTATCACTTGAATGGCTGCCAGCGTTAAGTGAAACTTAGAGCAAGAAAGGCATCCAGGCAGTTGCAGAAGCTTCCCTGTCCCTGCACATTAAGATGCAGGGACTCAAATGTATGGGAAGTATCTGTGGCTTTGGGAACCTCTGGCAAGCCCTGGCAGAACAACAACAACAAGAACTTTAGGGTTTTCTTTGTGAAAAGAAGTTCTTGCTTTGCTACTGGACCCTGGTGGAGACAGCGTGCCTGGTTATGGGATGTCGAGTGTTATGCTGAGTTTGCTTATCTTGAATTAGGTGGTAAAGGACCCATTGAAACCGTAAAACTGAATATTAACAGAAACATTCCATTGTAGGTGGAAATGATATCTATGACACCAGCTTTCAGTGGGTCTGGAGGGCTCAAGTAAATGGCATGAGCAAGTGTTCAGACTTCATGTACTTTCTCTTTATGACTTTGATGCCTTTCTTTCCTCACTCCACACAGTTAGCCTCATGGGGAGTTCCATATGACCAAAAAAGCCAAAAACAAAAACAAACAAAAAAAAAAAAACCCAAAACCAGATGTCCAGGTTTGCCCTAGATAGTACTGGTTTATACCTGTTGTGAACATTCATTTATCATTCATGACACCACTTTTTGTTGTCAAAAGTGTCCCAGTTTGGAGAATCAGTTCTTTGACCATACCATCTTTGATCAATTAGTGGAGAGGAAAGAATAGTGCCAATTCGTGCATTTCTGTACGATATTCCAGCATCAGCTGGAAGTGCACAGTCAAGCGCACCACAACCTAGCTCAGTGGGCAGGTCTTTAAGAGGTATGTCTGATTGTCTATTTTGTTCTGAAGGGGTTACAGATTTACACTGACTCGACTCAGTACCAGATTGGTCAGGTCATCAAGTACTTAAAGAGAATAAAATTGGAGAATTAGTATTAAGGAGGTCTAGATGGCTGGCTATTTGTTTGTTTGTTTGTTTGTTTACAAATAGTTTATTGTCAAGTTGGTTTCCATATAATACCCAGTGCTCATCCCCACAAGTGCCCTCTTCCATGCACATCTCCCCCCCACCCCCCCACCCCCGCACCCATCAGTCCTCAGTTTGTTCTCAGCATTCAAGAGTCTCTCATGGTTTGCCTCTCTCCCTTTCCCCCACTATTTCCTCCCTTCTTCTCCCCCTTGTTCCTCCTTTAAGTTCCTCCTAATCCTCCTATATGTGCAAACATATGGTATTTGTCCTTCTCTGCCTGACTTATTTCACTCAGCATAACACCCTCAAGGGCCATCCATGTTGCTATACGTGGCCAGATTTCATTCTTTCTCATTGCCACGTAGTATTCCATCATATAGATAAACCACATCTTCTTGATCCATTCGTCCATTGATGGACACTTAGAGGCTCTTTCCATAATTTGGCTATTGTTGAGAGTGCTGCTATGAACATTGGCGTACATGTGCCCCTATGCATCAGGATTTCTGTATCCCTTGGGTAAATTCCTAGCAGTGCTATTGCTGGGTCATAGGGGAGTTCTAGTGTTAATTTTTTGAGAAACCTCCACACTGTTTTCCAGAGGGGCTGTACCAGTTTACATTCCCACCAACAGTATAGGAGGGTGGATGGCTGGCTATTTGGATAGGAGCCTCAGGATGGGATATAATGTGAACATGCTTGTTTCTCATGTAAATGCAAAAGCCACGGTGGAGGAAATTCTCAATAATTAAGATGTTTCTTCCTGTGACATTTAGACTCTTTCCCTGGCCACTTTGGTGTTTGCTCACTGGACCAGTGTTCCAAGTGGCTATGGTCGCAGGGAAAGAGGATATTCAAGGGCTCAACAACACTGTGTCTACCCCCCCCCCAACCTTGTCAGATTGGTCTAACTATTAATGCTATTCACTGCCCAGCCTACTAATGGAGAGGTCATCTTTGAGCCCTTGATATGATAACATTCACCAGGGAAGCCAGCATAAGTGATGTCACAACTGCATGCTCTGGGGACACCTGGGTGGCTCAGTCAGTTGGTTAAGGGCCTGACTTCGGCTCAGGTCAAGATCTCACAGTTCGTGGGTTCAAGCCCAGCGTCAGGCTCTGTGCTGACAGCTCAGAGCCTGGATCCTCCTTCAGATTCTGTGTCTCCCTCTTTCTCTCTGCCCCTCCCCCACTCATGCTCTGTCTCTCTCTGTCTCTCTTTCAAAAATAAAATTAAAACATTAAAAAATAAAACCAAATGCGTGCTCTAAGTTATAAAGAAGTTGAAAGTGCATGCTCTGATTCATAAAGAAGTTGAAAGGCTAGGTGTGGAGTGTGAATGGAAAAGCACACATTCAGATAATGAGAACAATTCCATTCTATTCTTACTGCATACGTTTTGCGGATTCTCTTTATGGAAAGGATCAGCAGGAAACGGAGGAAACTGATGACTCAGCAATTTTATCTGTGTGTTATCTCACAGTCCTCACAACAACCATGTGAGGCGAGTTGGCTTGTACATCTATTATAGACATGAAAACAACAGGATCAGAGAGATTGAGTCTCATTTCCAAAGTCTCAAAGATGATGACATGTGATGTCTGTCTGGACGTCTTTTACCATCCTGCTTTTTAGGAGACTGTGGGCTTGCTAAGGTGGGACTCAGTGGGCATCTGCCGCCTACACTGGGGCTCATTTTCCTACCCTGGCACCTTTGACAGAGCCGCTACAGGACACAAACTGGATTTTAATCTCCTATAGTTCTCCTCTGGCTCTAGCTACAGGGTAGAGGTGAGCAGGTGAGCAGAGCTCTGTCTGAAAAGGGGAAGACATTAGGGGTGGCTCCATGGTCCTGCTGAGGCTCCTGAAGTATCTGGAGGCATCAGAGCTCCTTTTCTGGGCTGCATCCCAGAATCTCCATAAGGGTGGGAGGGGAGTCTGAGCGCCATAGAGGCTAAGACCTGGCTGGGCCATTTGGGAAAGAGTGGACAGAATGGGACAGGAGGCTGCTTTCACGGGTGACAAGACCTGGCCTCGGAACCTCTCAGGTTAGGCAAATAGCCCTGACTGAATACCTATCTTTGGTGACAAGTAACAATCATTTTCTGATTTCCTTTTTCACCACAGTGTATTTCACAGGAGTGAGCTAATTCTCACATGGCACCCGCGTGACTCTTCTTGTGCTTCTTCCTCTCAGAGACTTTGTTCTGCAAACGGCTCTGAGAAAACTTGTGGGATCCCTCCCCACCCCTCCCATGCCTCTCTGGCTGGGTAAGGCCTTCTCTTCTGTGGCTTCAGGGGCACCCCTTGCTTGGCATTTTCATAGCACTTTTCACACGTGTTGTGGGTTTTGCAGTATTGTTGTGAGATAATGTACGTAAAGTACTTGAGTTAGTTCAGAGTGGGTGTTTTTGTCATAAGAACAAAGACTGTGGCTGTCTGTCTTCTTATCAGTCATCCCCAGTGGAAGCTGTGAGGGAAGGGGCTGTGTCCCTGCTGCCTTACACAGTGCCTAGGACATTGGTAGATACTCAACAAACTTTCCATGAAAGAATGAACAAATTAAATAAAAGGGGTTAAAGAATAGGAAAGGTAGGGAATGAGCATGCTTTTCTTAACCATTTGGAGATATGTAAATAATAAACATATAATTCCTGAAATTTTCAACGAGAACAATTCTTTATTTAAAATAGGCTAAGTGTTTTTACTAGATTAAATAAAATACTCTACAATGAGAATTTTAAATCCAATAGTACCAAACCCAGTAATACCAGTCAGGGACTGTTCACACATCCCTGTTTAATAATGTTTGAATGATGTCTCTCATAATTCTGAGAATATGTGCCTTTGCTTGGAGAAAAGTTTCCAAAGCAACATCGCATTTCCTGGATATGACGGTGTCATGCTGGAAAGAGAAATTCTATAGTGCCCAAGACAGCTAAGAAACAGTGATTTTCAACTGCAGAGACCCTTAAACTTGCTCTGATGTTGTTAATAGTATTTCTAAATCACAGAGAAAGCCGACACATTTTATTTCAAGAAGAGAATGAAAGCAAGAAGGGGACCTACACTATTTCTAGCCACTTGTATTTATTAATATATGCTCAGCATTTTTAATGCCTTTTCTGCCGCAGGGTAGTAAGTGTTTCAGTAAAGAGATATCGTATAGGGACAGAGTTGGGGAACTTGTGCATACAGAAAGTAGCTGATAATCTCAAAGCTCTCAGGGCTCTTGGAAACGCCACACATCATGCATGATCTGGGGCTGCTGGGCCTTGATTTCTGGCATAGAAGTTTGCTGAGTGTCTGGGATGACTGTGGTATCCGTGGGCGTTTCTTCCAGGGGCGTGGTCACATCGGCACCGTAGGTCTCATAAATATCAGCTAATCCAGGGGTCATCAGTGGGTCAGCGTCCGCTGGGGTGACCCCAGGGGGTCCCCCGCTCTGCCCTGCAGGGCCTCTTGCCAGGGTGGGGTCGTTGCCCTTTGGGTGAGCAAGAAGCCCTCCCAGGGCACCATGTGCTACCTCTGGAAGGAGAGCTGGGTTTTCCGGATCTGCCGGGTTGCCTTCGGGCACCGGGGAGCCTTGCGCACCTCCTTCTCCCTTCTCTGGGCCTTTGGTTCCAGCGCCGGGGGTGTCAAATTCCAGGGTAAAGTCCCCGCCCATGGCTGGATGGGGGGGTATCCCTCCAAGGTTAGGTCTCATGCCACCAAATCCTGGGAACATGGCCCCGTAGGCCATGGGGCCTCCTCTGCCTCCCTAGAAATAAACCATTTACCAAAGGTACCGTTATCCCACACTATTAAGTACACCATGCAATCAGAATTGGTCAGATTCACCTAGAAATCAGAAAAAAAAATAGGGAACAAGGAATGAGCCGATAGCTTTGTGTCAGCACATTTCTCACTAAAGTGGCTTTGAAATATAAAGGAGAGAATTCTGGACTTTTCTGGAAAGCGTGAAAGACAGGTGGAGATCCTTTACCATATCTGGATGAAAGCAGGAACGAGAGAGGTGGGGAAGCAGGGCAGAACCAAATCTACAGGCAAATGGCAGTCGAACTTAATGTTAAGGAAACAATAAGCAGCCAAAATAGGTAGTGCCTGTCATAAAACAAATGAACAACAAACAAACACTGATCCATTGTTGAGTTTGTTGGTGGATGTTTTAGAGAACTGCTTCATCATCATTTCTCAAATGAGTGAAGCCCCATATAAGACTTTCCTTTTCTCTTTCTTTCTTTTTATTTTTGGAACATGTGTCAGAAAAAGAAGCTTGATGTCTCTGGAGGAACTGGAATATTTTCTTCCTGTGGACAGTTAGAATGATAGAACTGACCCTGTCTTTTTTTTTTCTGCCTTTGTTGCCCCAAATGTCCAACCTCCCGTTTTGGGCTATGTACAATGATTGTGTAGGGCTTTGTAACTTGCATATTTGTAATCTCATTTAATTAATTAATCGCTTACAATTGTGACTCATTTTAAATTCTATTTTCGATTTTTTGGTGACATTTATTAGGAGTTTTTCATAAGCTACAACAAAATCTTTTAAGCATGAGGCAGAATATAAATAATCAAAATGATAAGAAGATAATTAACCCTTACTTGAATTTTCAGCCAGTTGTGTTGGTGGTATGTGGGTACCGCATTCTTTTCTTCTACCTTTTCTTGGCTCTCCATTCTCTACATCTCAGCTCTCACATCATTTCCTTGAGAGATGGCGCTGTGAACTCCTGAGCTGGGCTAACTACCTCTTCCCTTTCCCTCTCTTATAGGTCTGTTCCCCTTATCACATCATCTTGACACTATGCCCTTGTATTTAACTTTTCCATTGATTAGACAGTAAACTCCTTGAGAACAGAAACCTTATCTAATTTATCTTGCGCCTGTAGCTTTCTATGCATCTAGTTCACAGAAGACACCTAAGAATGTTGGGATGAGGTGGCACGTGGGTGGCTCAGTCAGTTAAACATCTAACTTTGGCTCAGGTCATTATCTCACGGTTTGTGAACTTGAGCCCCACATTGGGCTCAGTGTAGACAGCTTGGAGCCTGGAGCCTGCTTCGGATTCTGTCTACCTCTCTCTGCCCCTCCCTTGCTCTCACTCTCTCTCTCTTTGTCTCTCTGTCTCTCAAAAATAAATAAACATTGAAAAAAAGAAAGAATGTTGGGATGAGTTTTCTTTCATTGATAACGTAGAGTATTTATTCATTTGATAGAATCTATAGCTGATAACAATTTAATTTAGTATGGTATTTGTTTTCTTTTGTTTTGTGCTCTAACAAATGTAGCAGGTAGAAATTTCTGTGGGAAAATATGAAATTGTGCAAGTCTACTGGTCCTCTAAATTTGCCATATGCATGGATAGTAGAAAAAGAATATGCTCAGATTAACATATTAATGCACTTTATATTTTATACTAATCACCTTTTAAACTTGGGTAGTTTCCTTTTTTTATCTGAATATAGTTGACACACATGTCACATTAGGTTCGTGTGTACAAAGTTGTAATCGTGTTGTATGGTGACAGATGGTGGCTACACTTGTGGTGAGCATAAGACGTAGAGTTGTTAGTTTTCTTTTTCTGTTTGATCTCTCAATTTTGAGGTCTAAATTGTTTGCAAAGCTGTTGAATTTATTGTTTTGAATTTGGTCCGAGAAGCGATGGGAACTCTGTACAAATCATGTGTGCCTTTTTTTGGTTTGAAACATATGCCGTTCAATGATAATGGCCTTTCAAGAAAGGTTTCTTGTCTGCTCATATTCAGGAGACAGGGCAAAATCTTATGTTCAAGAATGGCCGTGACTCAGAAATGACTATATGGAAACATGGTGAAATCTTTGCATGTTGCTTATGAATCAAGGTTTTGGTTTCTGAGTGGAACAATCTGGGTTGTGTGCTGTATATCCAGTGACATTTATGGCCAGTGCCTCTTGTGGCAAGTCATGTGTGACTGTTCTCCCCTGACCACTATTTTAATAACAGTTTGAGGACATTACTCACCGCCATTTCTTCTGAGCTCATGATGCCAAGTCTGGCAGGAGCATTCTGTTCAAAAAGAAAAGGTGCATCTTATTACTAGCCAGTGGATTCCAATGATCTTATTAGCTACTCAAGACAAAGTTAAAAGTTTACTTAATGTTCATGTTGTGCCCAGAGGCAGGGCAAAGTGTAGAGGTGAGTCATTATTAAATAACTGTAGCCAATTTGGATAATTCAGATAGAAAATTTATTTTTCCTTAATGCTGATGTGTGTGTGTGTGTGTGTGTGTGTGTGTGTGTGTGTGTGGCTAGAGTTATTCAAGTAGAAAGTCTGCCTCCTTGCCATTTCAGTTGTTATTAGGCACTCAGAGAATATGAAATCTTGAGTGAGGCCTATATTCTATAATTATAGCTTTTAAAATAATACTTAATCTAAAACAATACTTTTTGTAGGATACAGACTTACCAGTTGATTTGCTCCATAGGACATGTAAAATATTCCTGGGTAAAGCTAGATATAAATACAATAATCATCATAAAAGGCACTTTCCAAGGAAAAACTTACAAGTAAATTATAAGCAGAGACAAATTTTTTAAAAAGCTTACTGGAGATGGTTTATTTTGTGGCATTGGTCCCCGAGATATCAAACGAGCTATTTGGAACACCTTTAAGTGGTAGAAAATAGAATTAGTAATTCATTTTTGCTGTAACACAGGCAAACCTCCTATTACAGCCATTTCTAAGTGTTATATGAAATACATTCAGGTGGATTAGTCTAACAAATAAGTATTTAATATTTAAGAAAACAAAGGAATTCATTATACTTCATATTCATGGATGAATGGGGCAATTAAACATTTTCACTCTTCTTTCTTTATAAATTTTTTTTAAATGTTTAGTTTTAAGAGAGAGAGAGACAGAGTGCTAGAAGGGAAGAGTCAGAGAAAGAGAGAGAGAGAGAGAGAGAGAAACTGAAAGCAGGCTCCAGGCTCTGAGCTGTCAGCACAGAGCCCGACATGGGACTCAAGTTCACAAACCGCGAGATCATGACTTGAGCCGAAGTCAGACACTTAACCAACCAAGCCATCCAAGTACCCCTCTCCCTTCTTGAAGTATAGATATTTTTCCTAGGAAAGTATCTTATTGAGATCTGTACTTACTGATGGACCTTGTGGATCAGCAAAATCCATTCCTGGTAGCTGCATCATAGGTAAATATTAAAATTACTAAATTATGAAAATAGAACTGGACATACTCTTATCCAATTTATGACTATAATAAACAATCTACAATAAACTATTAAAAAAACAATCTAAAATGAATGTCCTGATTTTCACTTTCATATGGTTGGGCAGGACACAAAGTCTGTCTTCTTTAAAAGAAGAATGATAATATCTATCTTTACAGTATTTTAATTAGGGTGACGTGGGGGAATGTTAAATATGCAACATACTAGTTACATGGTAACTTCCTTTTCTTTCCAGCTCTTGTCTCTACATTATTGCATGATTTTTTTTCTCCACCAGTTAGAGAAATAATAATCTAAAATACTGCATGCAATGCTGTGGGATCAATCACTCTGCTCAGTCCCTCTAACACTGAAAAAAATTCTGATGATAGGAAGCATGGACTTCTCTGGGCTGTCCCATTTCCCCTGAAGGCTTTCATCTTTTGCAACTAAGAAACGAAGAGGCACAGGATCTTTTTAGAATCCATGCCTTGTTTCTGATGGTAAAGGACAGTTATGTCAACTGCTTAAAAACATATTTGTATTGTCATAAATTATGCCAGAAAGTTCTGATTATTTAAATGTGCTCTGCAAATCAGTTTTCATTGAATTAGTGGGCAATTCTGATTTGACTTAAGGGAAAGGAATTACCTCTGCCTTCGGTGGCTTGTCTGATGGTGCCACCTTCTGTTCGAGCATTGGCCCCTCTGCTTGCTGCAAGGGCGGTTGTCCCTGGTAAACTGGAGGCTGAGGTCCTCCCTTCTGGGCTGTGTCCTGGATGGCGGTTACAATTGTAGGCGGGAGGAAAGGTTTGTGTCCTGGCTGTTGAGGCTGCAGGGATGGCTGCGATGGGAGAGGTGGGGGGTGCACAGGCAAAGAATATTCATACTGCAGAGAAATTTGAAAGGAGTGTCAGGAAGCCATAGCTCACTGGACTGTGGTGCCTAGAATTTCTAAAACAAAAGGGCTTGGGAAGCTTTCCACTTGCAAGAGAGTCCAGGGGGATTGTCTTAAAGCTATGTTTGTGTAGGAAACACCAATTTATGTAAAGTCAATGTTATTTGGGGCGTGACTGTCTCTTCTACTTCCTTTGGGACGATCTGTGCTGAAGAATATGGAAAACGATTGGACTTCCTGGTAGCATGGTTGTTTCCTCCTCTGAATTCCCAAAACTGCCTCTAGGTACTGCTTTCTCACTGGATTACAATGATTTGTTATATATCTTTGCCCACGGTCAACTGACAGTAATATGTCTTCGTTGCCTTTATAGTCCTAACATTTAACATGGTTCCTGACAAGTGCCTGGCACTTGATAAATGATATATTTTTTGAGTTAATGAAAGGAGAGTAGTGATAATTAGGTAAAATACCAATCAAATTCCTGCATCACGGAGTCCATTTTGGAAACAATCAAGTGGAGAAACAGTCATTATTAACATTATTTATTGTCTACTAAGTGTGGCTTGGTGAGTAATGCTACTTGTGAACACCATCTGGAATCAAAGGTTTTTATTAAAACAACTATGTTCATTTGCTCCTTTTTGAAATTAACTGTGGTGAATGGCCTCCTGTTATTTTTAAATCATTTGCAAGCTCCTCAAAGTGACATGAAAGTTTTACCACAATCCTTCTTCTGCTACTGCCCATCTCAAAACTCCTATGGCTGTTTTTATTTGTACCTCATAATTTAGCACCTTGTAATACTTTGTCTTGTCTTATCTCCCAATCAGATCTGAAACTTCATGTACCTTAGAGCCATTCTTAAATGTTTTCATTTTCACTCCTAATCTACAATTTGCTTATGCATTTATGAGGCACCAAATAAATAATGGTTAACTGATTGATGTATTTATTGATTACTGTAAGTTTCATAATATTTTAACCAGGACTTTGGCATCATTTTAAATGTGACTTTGAATAATTATTTTGAGACTCTTGACTAAAATGAGATGTAGCCTGCTTCCATCTTGAAGATAGTTTATCTTTTGTTATTGCTCATGTCATTATGATCTCTTATATTTTGGAGGCCATATCTTCCTGTTTGAAATAAATATACAAATAAGTTGAAAGTTTGAACCACTTCGTTTTAATTTTTCTTAAGTACTAAAAACAATTATAGGTTTTGACTTGCTAATACTTAGAATGAATACTTTATTCATTATTATTTTCTGTCTGTAGCTAGTATATGATAACTTAGAGAAAGCAAATTGGGGAATATTTTTAAGTGTGAAGTTTCAAGCACATTGATGCAATTAACTTACCTGTTGAGTTTCATGTTCCCTTGGTCTCATCCATGGGAAAGAAGAATGTGGTGGCAGGAGACCATGCATCCACAAAGAATTAAATGACTTTCCAAAACCAAATCTTGAATACTAAAGACATGCAAGAGAGAGAGAGAGAGAGAAAAACATGCTTATATTTCAGTAGTGGCTTAAACTTGGTTTTCATTTTCTACAAAATTGATAGAATGTGTGGAGATAGCAAATGTAAGTGTGACATCAGCGATTTTAATGTGGACAGGCAAATGCTCTCTTCCAACAGACTTACTTTCTATCCTAAGACAGATTACAATATTCCCATAAACTTACTTGCGATATAGCTTTTTAAAACCTCATATTTTGGGTTGTTTAATAAAATTGAAGTGCTAGAAAGGATTTTTTTCTTACTCAAGAAAATTAAATACTATTTTAGCTACCATCCCATTTCAGGATCTTATTTTGTTTTAGGTTATCTCCATTACTCATTTGTTCTTTCCATACTTAGGAGAATATCTATTCACAAACAATTTTATGAATTACAGTGTTGCTATTAATGTCTCTACTACCACCACCATTAATTCTTGCAATAAGAAATATTTGAAAATAAGGTTACCTGAGAAAGCATATTTAATCCCTGCAAACTTCCCAACTGTCTCATTGTCTACCAAGAGAAAAAGTGGGTTAGTGTTTGCCACATATATTCCTTTTCTTATGGTGCAACTGTTTTCTCAATATATGATATTATTAGCACAAAGTTTGCAGTGGGTCAGTTGAATAAAATAAAAACAGACGCAAATCATCATTGAAAGGTGGAAATGTTAAATGTGATTGTCCCATTATTGCTATTGCTATCAAAATAGTGAGCTTGCTTTTTATCATTAATCAAATAAGTGAAAAAGGTATCATTTAAGTAAAGGTCACATTAAAACATTGGGAAATAGCTCATTCAATTGAAATAGAAACTTAATTGTGGGAACATTGTTTGATTGACTCTTCTCCCCCTCCCCCTTCCCCATTTAATTTACTTTGCCTTTCATAAATCCATCCCCAAACAGTCAAACAAAACAGAACAGAACAAGACAAGACAAAACACCCCTACCTCCTTCCCAAATAATAAAGGTCTCAAAATAGTAGATGTGAAAAACACTGGGGAAAATGGTGAGTATCTGGATAGATGGTCAAGAATGCTGCCAATTCAACAGAAAGTCAATTTCAATTTAATGATAACAGGTTTAGTGTGCTTTGAGTTGTTTTTAAGCTAGAAAGTGAGAAAAAAGTAACTCTGTGAAATTAGCTTCCATTTGAGATTGTATTGATTGCCTCCAGATTGTCATGATATGAAAAACTTTGCAAGGTCTTCTGAAAAATTTATAATCTCATAAATTTTTTTTATTCATGACTGTTAATATTTTCTTTTGATTTGGTCAAATGTTTCTAGTGTGCTGAGAATTTCTAAACAGAGTATTATTATGAGAACTTCAGCAAGACAAACAGGCTATGAAGCACATACCATAAAACCAGGTTCATGTTATTTACAGGACTTCTTATAAACAACCACATTTTATAGGGTAAATTTACTTCATGGGAACATTGTCATATAAAATACTATAAGGTGGTGGAATTAAATGTAAATCATTTGTGGCTTCAGGACAATGTGTTTTAATTAATGTAGTAATTATATTAATATAGTAATTATATCATGCATACCTAATATATATTAGGTATTAAATATTAGTATTGATCTAATTCACACACGGATGGCATTCTGAAGAGTAAAATACCTGGGAGTTTAAAATTGCAGTAAAATGATAAGATAATGCTCTAATAAATGTCATACACTTCTCTGGAACTTCTCTAGACAGCCACTGACTTCTGACTAGGGAAACAGAACCTGCCCATGGTGTTTCTTTCTTACCAGGACCATACAAATATAAAGGCTACAGGTAAATATTCTAAAAATACGTACCTCCAGGCTCAAACTAGCCATGCCTGGTGTCCCAGGTTGCTGAGGAAACATCTAGATGGAAATAAGAATAATTTTGAGATGTCTGGTAAGAAACTTCCCTAAATGCATACTGGAAATAGAAAGCTAACCCAGCACGCAAAGGCCAGCTGAGGGATTTAGACTTGAGCTTTTAAGCAGAATAAAGAAGAATTTAAATTAATTGGGAGAATTAGCATCGTATTTAATGACTTTGCCCCCTCATGAATCATCTACCCTTTGTATCTTAATGCAGAGATTTTTAAATTTAATTTGAGATCACATTGAAAACAAATACAGTGTAGCATAAAGCTACAAAATAGAAAAACAAGGATATTTTGTATTCTTAAAGAAATTATCCCATAGACAAGCAAAAGGGGCAAACTTAAGGTCAGTTTTCTTGTGCTTTTGGCAACTTACATGCTTCTGGTTCAAGGAATCATGGCATTCAGCAAAAACCACATGCAAAACCTAACCTGCTACCCATCCAAGGAGCTCCAACAAATGCTCTGTCATCTTTCATGAAAAATTATTTTATGTATAAATCTATTGATTTGTGTTTATAGTTTTTGATCATATCCAAGATATATACTTTAAAATAAAAATCAATCAAGTATTATTATACTTAATGTGTTCATTTAAGAGTTGTCAAAATACAGTGATACTTACAACTAGGTTTTTAAAGTGTAAAATATTTTTCTTTCTAAAACAATCTTTATTAATATGCATAAATACCAGTAGGAAAAAAAATGGAGAATGGAAGAGTAAGAATTCGAGTACTTTGGGTTTTGAGGGTCTTTGGTTCTTTGGAAATCCTTACTTTCTAGGGTCACAGGTTCTAAATGTCATCTTTTCTTCATTTACACACAAATATTTATGAAGGGTCAGCTAAAAATGTTGGGGTTTTTTTTTTTCATGAGTAAGAAGTTCAGAAATAGTTTCCTGAGTGTGTTATCTACCTGCCACTTTCTGCTTTTTTATACAAGTAATATCTGGCCTTCTGAGTCATGGTGCAAATTTCTCCAAATAATTCAGTTTGGGAAATGGATAGCAGAAAAGGAGTTATAATTGTGTAGCAAATACTCTAAGCAGAGAAAAAGATAAGTTGTGTAGACAGGAAAAGCGATGTGTGTGTGTAGTGAGCAGATTGTTCAACATTTTGTGAGAGTAAAACCTTCTTTCCTCCCATTGGCCAGTATACAAATTAGGTATCTTGGACAGATTCAAGTACAAAGTGTACTTTGCTTTCCATTTACTTTAAGTCATGAATTAACAACAAATGTACGTGTATGTAAATGGACAGAGGATACATTTCCAAGGAGACGTAAAAGCAGAACGTCTAACTTGACAGGCAGGCAGTCGGCAATCCTAAACAACTGTCACATCCTGCAGGTGGACCTGACTGACACAGGTGTTGGCCAGCATAGGTTCCAAGAGTGTCAAGACACTCAGACAGTAGATGGCTGAGGCTGACCCCAGGGTCAGTATTATACAGAAGTAAGCAAGGGGGGCAGCTTTACGCTTTACTTTTTTATTTTTTTTTTTCACTTAAAGTTCATGTTGAGTAATGGAATGGGCTTTCATCCTTGTAGCCAGTTTTTATCCCCTTCCTCCCAAGCATAACTTTAAGAAACCCAAGTAGCTAATCTTCTTTGTCAGGGAACTGAAATATTTTAAAGTTCATTTAAGTCCAACGAGGAGTTCCTCGAGACAAGAGGTCATGTCAAACTTACCTTTGTGTCTCCAGTGCCCAGCACATTGCTGGGTGTATGGCAGGTGCTCAGTCAATATTTGCCAAATGCATATGGCGGCTGAACAAAGTCTTCATGAAAACAGAAACACATACTATTGGCTGGAGGGGTTCAGTACCCACAGGACTGTATTCATGAGATCATATCAACATATGTTAGAGTCAACCAGGTATAGGACTATAACATACAATCAATCCCATTGCCATGGCATGTTTTGATTTAAGAAACTTCAACTATCAATCACACATATCTCCCCTGTAAGGGAAATTTGTTGGTTAATTAATTGCTTCAAATGGAATTACTTAGGTCTGTTTTGTAACCATCACAATTTGGCTAATACCGTTCTTTTAAAAATGAAGAAAATGTACTTTACTGTTTTGGAGAAATGTTCTCTCCATTTCAACTGTATAACAGCAGCGAGTGGTTATAATAAAATTGTGCCATGGCATTGTGGAGGCTACACAAATCTTTTATTCTTGAGTGACTTGAATAAGACTTCAAAATTATCTTCAGATATTTTAATACCTTTTTGAATAGAAAAATTACATTGACTTACTGTTTTTGGACGGTAAGGTTGATGTCTGGACCCCTATGACCTTTGACTTAGTAGTATGTCTACCACTGGATGAATTCAATGAGCGCATGCATGGACTTCAGAACATGCCCTCAGTACTGTTTAGTATCCAACAATCTAGAATATCTAGAAAACTGTGACTTACCGGCACTGCAGAACTCATTTCCAAGAGGCATAAGATCAGTATCAGGTCCTTCATTTTGGAAAGTGGGATCTGAAACAGAATTGGGTTGGAAAATTAAATCAGTTGAATTTTTATTTCAGAATGGTTAAAAGGCAATGTTTCAAATGAGTCATGTCTCTGTTCTTCCAAAACAATCAGTTTAAAAAAAAACAAAAATAAAAACAAACACAATTAAATGTTCCTAAACTTACTTATGTTTACTAGTTTTTGGAATGAATTAAGAATCAGTTAAAAAAGTATCTAAGTGTTTTTTTAAAAAACGGAGTTACAACCTAAATGAACATGTAGGATAACCTTTGTGATGTGTTCTTTAAATGCTGTGTTTCATTTCATAAAATGTATTATGAATGTGAAAATCCTTTCTATGTCAAATTTTGATCTATAAAGTATCATTCACAGGATTTTAGACTTTCTCTCCAGAGTACATTTTGAAATGCATTTGAAATAGAATACAACAATTATTTTATAGCAAACCTTTATTTGCAGATATATTATACTATATATCACTCTATGTTTTGGCTATCCAGATAAACATAACAAAACTTATCTTTTTAAAAATAAGAATGAGGGGTGCCTGGGTGGCTCAGTAGGTTGAGCTTCTGACTTTGGTTCAGGTCATGATCTCCCGGTTGAAGCCTGACATTGGACTTTCTTCTGTCGAAGAGTCCACTTGGAAGATCTCCTGTCCCCCTTTTTCTCTGCCCCTCCGCTGCTTGTTCTCTCCCCCCAAATAAATAAATATTTTTAAAAAATAAGAATGAGTTGAATATTTTAAATGCCTTTGATATTAGTTGGGAAATATGTCTCAAAATTGAGTTTTTTCTCTTTTCTAAAATGAATTATCTCTTTGAGTTTATCCTAGAAGTTGAAAAGCCTCTTTACTTTTCATGAACAGAAATCTGCCTACCCAAGAAATTTGCTGGTCTTCTAAATCCTTTCTAAATTAGCCACTGTCACTAATAAACACAAATAGTGAAAAAAAAAAGTCTACAGATTAGCCTTTCCTTCCTTAGTTGGTAGGGTATTAGGCATGTCTTCTGTGGAACATGCTAATGGCTTACAATAAACTATTATTCAGCTTCTGGTGACAAATAAAAAACCTCTTTATAAATGCTACCTGGAGATAGGAAAAAAGAACTTATAGGAATCACATGGAAATCATAAAATCACATTTTACCTTCAATGCTGACATGCACTGTGTTCTCAGGGCCTGGTGATGCCAACCAAGACAGTTCTAAGGAAAGAAGATTAAAACTGTTTCTGGTCTGTGCCTAGGACTCGCTCTGTATCTCTCATTCAAGGAAGACCAGAAACCTTTATTTAAAGTGCCAATCCACCAATCAAAGTGAGGCAAAACAGAGGAAAAAAACAAGCTCTGCTCCTGTAATTTAGCCCACACCCTTTATTGCATGCAACGACATTGGCCCAGTAGAGTCTCATTATTTTTAATTGTAAACCAACCCTTATATTTATTCAGAGAACTCTATTGCGGGGACGACAGTAAAGGAATAATGGACATAAGCTCTGAAGACAATCATTTTGGTGAGCTGAAGGAAATATATAAAAAATGGGTGCAAAATTAACCATTATCTGTTTTGTGCAGGCTTTTATCTGCAGATAGAGCTAATGACCCATTTCCAATGTTCTCGAGATTATCACCCTCATATTGTTATAGTAAATGTATCTCCCCTCTTTTTCCCCAACATACACACAGTCTAGAAGGAAACATGACATTCTGAGCTTGAAAGAGAAAATGAAAATATTAGCTGGATAATGAGTACATTATGATGTTTTCCTCAGAATTTCCTAGATAGTTTTTTATCTAAAGATAATAGACTGGAGTTTGCCAAGCTTTTGTAAGAAATTTTAACCAGACCCTCTGAGAGAATAACTTCAGGCAAAACTTTGGTGCATGTTCTTTGGGGGTAAAGGGACATAAATCAAAACATTCTCATGAACCAATCAGGTCAATGGGCACTAGTCTCATTTCACTTTTTTTAAGATTAAAAATATACTTATTTATTTTTGAGAGAGAGAGAGAGCAGAGGATCTGAAACAGGCTCTGTACTGACAGCAGAGAGCCTAATGCATGGCTCAAACTCATGAACTGTGAGATCATGACCTGAGCTGCAGCAGATGCTTAACGGATTCAGCCAGTCAGGCACCGTCATCTCAATCTTTAGATAGACTCACTTTCAGGCATTTAGTACCAAGCCAGGTTAGTCATATCTGTGTCACTTAGAAGGCTAATGTCAACATGGATGAGTTTTCTCCATGAACAGATAAGAATGTCTTGGAGGTGGATTGGACTTTAACTGCTTTTGTTATTTCTCTGCCCCTCCTTATGTTTACAAAGGTGTGATTTCAGATGTGATAGGGATAAGAATTTAAGATTAGTTTCATAAGAAGGGATGAGTCAGTACACTCTTTAGGGAAATAGGGATCTTGCCAATTACAGGGAACACCGAGGAAGCTGATATTTTGGGGAAAAGATGTCTTCATACCTAAGTGTAGGCCTAACATCTTCAAATAATGATATCCAAGAAATTGTCCCTGAAAAACCCTATTTCCTATGGATAACAGATTTTTCTGGATGCAAAGGAATAAGGCATGTAAATATGTTTTGTAAATAGCAAAATGTTATTGAAATAAAACCCCACCTTTCCCATTTCTCTCTATTCCAGTTCTGGTGCTTGATCAAGTCCCTTAATCTCTTTGAGCCCTACTTCCTGCCTTTGTAATATAAGAATGATCATTTATAACCATAGGTTTGTTTAGAAGATTTGATGAGATGATAAAGATACAGCAGCTGCCATGTAGCAGGAGTTCAGTAAGTAGGTAATTGTCCTTTGAATGGGAGAAGCTACATGAAACACCACAGAGACAGTGTGTGTGTGTGTGTGTGTGTGTGTGTGTGTGTGTGTGTGTTAAAAAAGAGGAGCAGTGGCAGTTAGGTCCGTGAGCTCCACAGAAGGTAGAGAAGGAACCTGATGGAAGGTGTTTCTTTTCCATAGAAGTTGATGCTGAATTCATGGGATTAAGCTTCCTAGTTGACTGTTAACCAGGGAAATGGGATGTGTGTGAATATTTCTTTTACAGTTGATGAGCATGATCATGACAGGCTAATGATGCTGTTTTGACAGAATTCATATATTCTGCCTTTCTCTTAAGCCAAATATTTAATATACTATAAATGATGTTGCTTCTACCTTTTGAAAATGACTTTCACACCCTGTCCTGGATTACTGTCTTCCAGATGTTACCTGTTAGTTTCTTTCTCCTCCGTTTTCTTGCATACCCACACCAATTTATCTTCCTAAAATATTGGTTTCAGCATTTCACAGCTCCACTCAAAAACTTTTTAAGAACTCCTAAAGCTATAATGTAAAGTTCACCCTCTATAACTAGACAGTCAAATTAACATTTCCATTCACTTTCGAATTTCATCTCCCATTTTATGCAAGACTGTACATTAGGATAGTAATCATGATTGTTGTAATCAGTTGAAGTAAACATTTTGCATCTAGTCAACAGCTTTTAAAAAAATGTTTAATGTTTATTTATTTTTGAGAGAGAGAGAGAGAGACAGAGTGCAAGCAGAGGATAGACAAAGAGAGAGGGAGACAAAGAAGCAGACTCCAGGCTCTGAGCTGTCAGCACAGAGCCTGACATGGGGCTCAAACTCACAGGCTGCGAGGGGTCATGACCTGAGCCGAAGTTGGAGGCTTAACCGATGGGGTCACCCACATGCCCAAGTCAACAGCTTTTTATTTTTGATTACTGTGTACTGGAAAAGTTAGCAAACATAATCCCAATACATCTTGATTAAAAATATGTTAATTACAAAGAACTCTGGAAATTAACATGAGCTTATGAATGCGTGGCAGTAATGATAGGCATTAAGGACAGACTACAGCTGATGGCTACTATGTCATGTTGATCAAGACCATACATTTATTTAAAAAAATGAGAGTAACCAATTTTTAAAAATGCTATGTCCAGAGTATGGCAAAAATAAAAAATCTCAGAATGGCAGAAGATCTGAGATACATGAGGGGACACATACTGCAGAAAAAGTTGTAAAGAAAAAGTTAAAGAAGATCCTGTGGAAAAATGTTAGTACAGTAGCTGAGCACAGCTTTTGAAAACCCTTCCATGGCATTAATCATGCGACTTTGGGTGAGCTACTCAACTTGAATATATACAGTATTTTCATATAGTTATTTAATCTGTGAAATGTGGTCTACCATAGGATGGCATTAATTTAATATAATTTATTTAAGTAACTAATTAATATAAAGTGCTCAGCACACTATCTGATATTCAGAAAATATTCAGTGATCATGAGTTGTTATTGTTCTTGTTGAAATAAAGAAACCTATGGTGCAAATCTACTTCATATTGTACTATGGGCCTTGGCTGTGACTAGTCTAGCCACCAATGGCAGCTATAACAATGAACCAAAATGTAGAAGAATGAGCTTCTTTGATTGCTAATGAGCATGTCGATTGCATGGGACAAAACACGGACTTTGATTTTTGCTTTGTTCTCACACATGGTCCTTTTCAACCTTCAACTCCAGCCAGCCTTGTTTACTCAGTCTCTCCAGAATGTGCCAAGGTTTTTCTCTTCTTGAGGCTTTTGTTGAACCTTTCTCTCTGCCTAAACTCTTTTCTTACCTCTTCTCAACTTGTTTTCAAAGTTCCAGTCCAATTTTACCTCTTTGGTGACTCTTTCCCCCACCAGTCCACTCCACTGTGATCTTCCCTTCTCTGACTCCAAAAATTTGTCAGTCATTTGGCAATCATTCATATACTACATTGTGACAAATTGCTTGTTATAGGTCTTCACATTTTTTTAAAAAAATTTTTTAACTTATAATTTCTAGGAGAGAGAGACGGCGTGAGCAGGGGAGGGTCAGAGAGACAGAGGATGTCACAGACTGAAACAGGCTCCAGGCTCTGAGCTGGCAGTCAGCACAGAGCCCCACGCGGGGCTCGAACCCACGAACCGCGAGATCATGACCTAAGCGAAAGTCGGATGCTTAACCAACTAAGCCACCCAGGCGCCCCTAGGTCTTCACATTTTAATTTGCATGTGATCTTCTAATTTTTTTGGATAGATTAACATATTTTTTCAAACATATAAAACATTCCTGTGGGAACAGAAAACACTCATTCCACTAAGTTGTATCTTTTGCTGTTATATGCAGATTATAATAGGTAATATTTGGATAGTATTTACCATGGGCAGGCATTATTTTAGTGTTTTACATATATTCATTTAATCCTCTCAATGACTTTATGAAGAAGATACTATTCTCCTATTCTCCCCTTTTTATACAAAGAGAAAACTGATCTACAGAGAGGTGAAGTAAATTACCCAAACTGACAGTCAATGAGTGGTGGGACCAAAATTTAGACACAGGAATCTTGCTCTAATTCTAATGCCAGAACGAATTAGTCAGCCAACAGTAGATGATATTAATCGATCAATCATTGGAAAATACAAAGAAGTACAATACAGTATACCTATTTGTCAGAAATTTATCAGCAATTTACTCAAAGAAGAGAAATACACAAAAATAGTTAATGAAACATACAGCACACCAATAATGCTTAATTAAAAAGCATATATAATATCAAAAAGCATGATAACACATGGATTAACTGCTAAAAATAATAATGCTATAGAACAGCGATTCTCAATTAGGGATGATTTTGCTCCAACAGGGAACATGTCTGGGGGACAAGGGGCTATTTCTAGTTGTCACAGTTTGCTGGTAGGGAAGGGTGGAGTAGGGTTTGCTAGTGGCATCTAGTGAGTAGCAACCAGAGATGCTGCTAAAAATCCTAAAATGTACAGGACAGCGCCTCACAAAAACAAGTATACAGCCCTAGATGTCAATAGTTGTGAGGTCATGAAACAGCTAATAGAAGAATGCTATAAAGTTTTTGAGGTTGGAGAAAGCCTTTGAGGCTTTAGGGTCAGGTCTGAGGAGGATAGATTCATGCTGAGCCTTGAGGGAAGGCCATTTGTCAAAATGCCCAATCAGTGGCTGATGACAGAGTCAATTGATAAATATTAAGTTTTCCAGGGAAAGAATCTGATGGAGTGTCATGCATTAAGCTGGAATGGAAGAGGAGCAGAGAGTGTGGTCAGGTCAAGGAAGGCCAAGTTTTAAAGTTGATT